ATTGCCACCATCCATTTCCAGAACCCATTGCCTGCTCTTTAACTTTCTAGTGGGACTTGTGGGCAGTGTGTATGTGGTTTTCACTGCTGATTCACGTGGCTAAGCAGACTTTATTTGATTATTAGTATTTCAGCGAATGTTTATTAAATGCCTATTCTGTGCCAGAAATTGGCGATGCAAAAATGAATAAGCTAATCTTTTCAGAATTTAGTGGGCATTTGGTTAACCCATTTCCATGGACACTAACATTTGTAAATACCTTCTTTGATGAAGTTCTCAAGTTCCTTATGAAGAGATACTGGGAGAAGTAGAGTTTAGGTTACAAACAAATTTTGGTGATTTATGTTTGCAATTTCCCAGAACGTGTTCGTCTTCTCTTGCCTTTATAAGAATAAAGAAAGGACAAATGAACCCATAGTTTTTACCAGGTTTTGGTTTGGTGACCAATTAAGAGGGCTCAACAAATTTAACTAGGTTAGATGAAAGATGCGTGGTCACTTCTGAAGTAGTTTTGAGAACCACAATAGTAAGCTGGATATTCAGTGTTGTTTTTCTTGCGGTTGCACTGAATTTTTCCAGGTTAAATTTAAGGTTTAAGGATATCTAAATTTTAAATAAACTTTAGATCAGAACGATTAGTTTGAATACCAGGTAGGAGAAAAGTGCATGGAAGCTTCTGAAGCTCTTTGATGCAGAGATCTTCCGTTCTGGCCAAAGTTGTCATTGGCCAGAAAACTCTGAAAAGATGGATTGGGAGGGATTTGCAAATAGAGTATTAACTGTGCAGTTGGCCTAACTTCCTATTTCAGCTCTGGGACAGACATTGATCTCAGTCTGGGGATGGAACCAACTGGACCTAGGTTTTCATGGAGTTTACAACAGCGTGGATTAAAATAGGTTCTGAAGCAGACCCCAGGGGGATTCCCTATATATAAAACTCTGGAGATATGGTTGTATTTCTGCCATACTAGGTTAAGAAATGGAGTTTGTTACTTTTTCTCTGTTTGGCTTCAATGACTCAAGGTTAATGCGACAAGGCATTGCCAAGTTCTTCAATAAAATGTTCACTTTGTCTGGCACGGAAGGCAGTGGGCATTTCCCTGTTGGATATGCTCTCTAGGAAATTCTGTCCATGCTATCTGCTAAGTGTGTGAGTTTCAAAGAAGCCTTAACGAGAAGAACATGTAGGCATTCCTCGATTTTTAAGTGATTCATTGAAGCAGTCATCCACCAGTACCCTGGGCTCTGCTTTATTCACCCTGCTTCTGGGCCACATTGGACGCCTTTCATTTAGAAATCAAAACTGAGAGCTTTTAGTTAAGTTGAGGGTTCAAATATTAAGAAGCAGCAACAGCTTAGTGGGGCACCGACTTCCAGATAGAGAGCTACGCTGCTCAAAACTGGAGCAACTATTCGGAAAGAGTAAAGTCGGTATCCGCCCTGTCCCCAACCCCACACGAAGTGGAACCAAGGGCTACCAAGGTGTTGGGGCCGCAGGGTCTTAGAATACCAGTCATAGGAGGGTGGAGAAGCAAGCGCACACCAGAAAGAAATTTTTATCCTGAGTCAGATGTAACCCTGGGGGGAAATTACATCTTTACCTTCTTGTCTATATCACCTTCTCTTCCTCAGACACAGGTGGAACAGAATTTGTGTAACACAGTTTCTGTAAAATGCTGTCTGGGCCTAGGAACTGACAGACTTTTGGAATGGGTCCATAAATCAGAAACTACCTATGCTAAGCATTTATTTGCAATTTAGGGATTTCAATCAAATTTTTTTTCTTTCCACCTATGAGAAAGATTGATATCTTATTTTGAGAATTGATATCTTATTTTGAGAAGTGGGCCATGTTGTGGGTTTCCAAATGTTGAGGTTTTTTTAAAGGTGGCAGTAGGGGTTTTCTAGCATGGGCTGCGAAGTTCACCTGACTGGATTTGAGATGGGTCTTCCCATCATGACCTTGGGCAGATGTGTCTCCAGAAGTCCGTTCCCCATCTGTAGGAAAGTGCTAGGCTTCTACAACCGATACTGCATTTACCAGGGCCCTGGCCAGATAAGGCTTAATAAGGGTTAACTATTGTTGTGTTGTATTCCTCTATTCTGCGGGGATATTATGTATCCATTGTTCACATTGTTGTGAACAATGTAGATTGTTGGTTATCTCTTTGTAACTGATGTGATTAAAAATTACCAGTTTACAGAAGTCAGGATATTTAAGAGCTAACCCTCCACTCTCCCTCATAAAATAACAGCATCTGAGGTCATTTCTGTTTTGTTTTTTTAATTTCTAGGCATATGTTTAATTTTTTTCTTTACATTTGTGCTAAATGAACCTAGTAGTTGGTGTTTTTTGTAAGGCTTCTACTTTTTGCTATTGAAACAAAGTAGATTTTTTTAAAATTGGATATATGTGGTTAATAATGTCCTGAATCTGTAATTTCCATCTGTAGCTCATTATATGCTATGAAGCAGACCAGTTTCACTCACGAATTACTTGGCCACATGATCTTATATTACAGATAGGAAAATTAATCCTAGGGGCCCCCTATGTTAGAAAGGGCGCTGATCGGTGCTGTCAGACACTTTGGCTTCTGTTGCTGAAGGCTCCAACTAGGGGGTCTCTTCAAATACATTTTACCTCTAAAATTTCATGACCCTGAGTTATTTTAACATGAAAAGATTTGAGATTTTTGCTATATTTTTCATTCTTTAAACACCTCCCCCCCACCCCCCCATTGCCTTTCAGCATTAAACTGAAAAGATGTCCCTGTATGACGACCTGGGGGTGGAGACCAGTGACTCCAAAACGGAAGGCTGGTCCAAAAACTTCAAACTTCTGCAGTCTCAGCTTCAGGTGAAGAAGGCGGCTCTCACTCAAGCAAAGGTAAGATACGCCCACGGTGTGAAGCAGGTTCTGCCTGCGGTGAAGTGTGATGTGATTTTAGCGTACTCTTCTGCCTTTTTATTGACGATGTGGGGTTAAACATTTATGGAGAGAGCTTCTGAGTCGAGAGGAGTAAGGAGTTTAATGTCGTTTTGCTTCTCCCAACTCCTGGGAATAGAACTATTTCAGGGATTTCAGTGAAGAAATTAGCACTGTCAATTTCAAACAATGATGCAGGTTTTCAAGCTTCAGTACGTCTATGATAGATTGAAGACCTGGTTCAAATGCTGCTTCAGTAGCCGTATTCCTGATGTGCTGGTGAATTCTGGCTCTGGGTTGGGGCCCTGGGAACCTGCACTTGTGGTAGCATTCCTGCTGTTGTAGGTGGTTTGGAGTCAGCACTTTGAGGGAGGAAGCCGTGCAGTAATTACTGAGCGATAATCATGGGCATGCATTCTTGAGGCCTCAGATTGGTTGTGACTGTCAGGCGGACGTAGTCCGGGGTCATTGTTTTTGTTCCTGTTGTAGACGTGTCGGGCAATGGCACTATCCTTAAAATCATTCAACATTTCAATATGTACAACATTNGGTGGGAGAAGATTTCCTAAGGATTAAACTAGAAAACTCCCAAACAATGGAGGTGACTGCATCTATGCTCTGTAAACCAAAAAGTTGTGTGTTAATGTGTGACTTACTGATTTGGAAATGCGCAAAACTCCAACCACAAAGGAAGGAGGTAATAAACGGCCTGCAAACTGGAGATGTCCGGAGGCTTGGTAGATGCAGATTCCACTTGGAGAGTCCCCAAGGCCCTGGGCTTCAGCATCAGGGCTTTCTCCCACCCACCTGTGCTTTGATCAGCAGGGCAGGGAGACCTAGACCAGACACCTTCTGCCTTTGCTTTCCAGGACCTTTCTCCTTCTGAGCTTGATAGAGAGCCAGAAACTATCAGAGGCATTCGGTAAATGCATTTTATCTCTTAAATGTTCAGTGAACATATCTTATTTCAAGAACGAATTTTCCATTAACCACATTTTAAGCCTGCCTGAAAGCTTAGTGCCAGCACTCCAGCCCCAAACCTACCGAGTCCCCTTCTCATGGGTGGGGGTGAGGGGAGGGCTGATCCCAACCACTCTGGGAATAGCCTTATTCTAGATTTAGAACTAAGGATTTCTGTCCTAATGCTATATCAATATTCTATTTCGAATTTTTGGATTGAGATTCATAAGTGCTAATGGCCTACAGTTTTCTTTGGGCTACATTTGTTGGGTATCACTCCTGTGCCATCTCCACACAAGAAATTTGGAGCTTTCCTTCTTTTCCTATGCTCTGAAACAGCGTATCAGAATTCGTTGGCCCTACGGTCCTGGTGAAATCCCCGAAACATCAGGACCTGCTGCTCTTTCAGGGAGTAGCTCTTTGCTCTTCTCTGTTTCTCCTGTGATAGCTGGTCTGTTTAAATTTCATAACTTGTCTGAAGCCCATTTTGAGAAATTATATTGTCCTAAAAATGATTTATTTCACCCAGATTTTCTAACTGATTTGATAAAACTAAACAAAGTCATCTCTTAAGATAATTTTACTTTCCTTTGCATCTGGAGTTAATTTCCCGTATTCTGTATTTTGTATATTTGTGCTTTCTCCCCTTTTTCTTGTTTAGTTAACAGGTCACCTATTTATTTTTAAAGAATTAGCTCTTGTATTTACTTTTTTAGTTCTATATTTTTCTGTTTTATACACCAACATTTTAGGCTTTTATCTCCATTAATTACATCTTCTACATTTCAAAGGTTTACCCTGTTTTATTTCTAACTTCTTACATGCGTGCTTAATTTATTTAGTTTATTCTAACTTTTTAATTAATACAATCATTAAAACATTGAATTTTCCTCTTGGTACTGTTTTAGCAAAATTCTTGCATTCAGATATATCATTTTCATACTTTTCTAAGTATTATCTATTTTATTTTTTGTTTTCCTTTTTGTTCCAAATGTTATCTAAGCATTTAGAAACTTCCAAGGAGTAAGAATATTTTATTTTCTGTTTTGTCATAATTTTTAGTTTTATGGAATTGTGATCAGATAATATTATCCATATGGTTCTACTTATTGGAATATATTAAGATTTTATCTGTGGCCTAAAATATGGCCAATGGATGTGAATGTTCCAAGGACACTTGAAAAGATGTAATCTCTGTGTCAGGGTACAGAGTTTGATATATTAGATCTACCAAATTAATTATATTTTTAGGTCTTCTCTATTCTCATTTACCTCTGTGCCCTTAATCTGGCAAGGACTATACCAATTATTTCCGTCTGTTCATTCTCTTTATATCTCCTATAATGTTTGCTATGAATAATGAAATTATGGTATTCAACGCACATGAGTAAATATTTCTATTTTTTCTTCATTGTGAATTGTAACTCTTATGATTATGAAATGCCCTGCTTAATCTCCTTGAATACTTTCTGTCATGAAATCAACCACGTATAGTACGTTTGTGGTCCCTGATTTCTTTATGTTTGCATATTCCTGGTATAGTTTTTCTAGTCTTGTATTTTTAAACTTTCAGAATCACTCTATTTTATATATTTTCTTGTATACAACAGAGTTGTGTTATGGTTTGTGCTCCAATCTGAAGTTGTATTTTTTTAAATAGCAAAGTTTAGCTCATTTACATTTACATTTGTATTTTTGTTCTGGGTTACCATAATAATTTTAATATTACATGATGTCCTTAATCATCTATTTCTTTAGATTGTCTATTGAGTCCTTACTATATTTCTTTCTTTTCTCGTTTTTCTTAATCACCAGGTTTTAGTTGATTATATTATTTCTTAGTATGTTCCTTTGTATTAAGATGTATATTTAAATCTCTACTATTTGATTTATCAGCTTGAAATATTTTCCCCCCAATTATAGATATGAAAATCATATTTACACAAAATTGCATTTTCTCTTTTCCTCCCAACTTTTGCTATATCGTTTCTAAATTGTGAGGCTTTATAACGTTTACGTAACCCTAAACTCCATATCTATTGTTTCCTTAGTCATACACTTAATTCAATGTTTTTTCCATTTCTTTTGCAGCAATTTTCCCATTCGTCTCGCCTATAGTGATTTATTTTCAGCTTTGTGCATATAGATGAACGGTTTTGAATGAATGGGAACGAAGGTCTTAGGTAGAATTCTTCTCCCTCTTTCCTATTAGAATGCAGTTGGCTCCCAAAGACATCTTTGCAGCCTTGGACCATTTCTCCCTCTCACCATCTGTGGTCACTGCCAGGCTCTCCTAAGGTTTTGACATTTTACACACTTGCCCTACGGCGACACCTCTTGGCGGAAGAGAAGGACTGGGCTGACGAGAGGTGCGTGCAGTGCGGTCCTCCAGGCGGCAGGGGGCGCCGCGGCGAGGCGACTGCAGCGCAGGCGAGTCTCTCTCCCGGCCGCATGCGCTCCTTGACCCCGCGCCGGCGCGCGCCCTGCGGACTCGGCGTAGGGGTTGGCGCCGGCTGGGGGGCCGATCGTCACGGGCTTACGCCGAGTGCGCCCAGCGCGCCCTCTCCGAGGCGCCTTGGCCCTGGTGCGCCGCCGCAGCTCATGGGGAGAGTCTGCCCGGCGGGCCGGGTAAGTGGCTCCCCGAGGGGCGCGGGCCGGGCGGCCTGGTGGGGAGTCGGGGCGGGAGCGCTTCCCCCGGGGGCTTTGGACGCGAGGCCGTGGCTTTAGGCCGCGCCGCCATGGGGCGGGAGGTCTCGGGCCGGCCCCCCGAGCGCCGGCGCCCTCGCACTCCCGGCGGGCCCCCAGCCCCGGAGACCCTGCGCGTTTCCCTTCGCCCTCCGCCGCCACTTTCCTTTATTTGCCTCGGGTCATCAGGGCCTCGAACTCTTCCTCTCTACTTCCCAGTCTGTCTTTTTGTCGTCTGTTTCTGTTTCTTTTGGACCCGGGAACGTTTTGCTCTCCCCTCCGTTGGTCATGGTTTGAAAAAGTTGCACGGTCCCTAGACCCCGGTCGCCGGGCCTGTGTCACCTGTGGCCTAGCAATTTGCGCCCCTCGGAGGCCCAGGGAGTGGAGAGGAAAAAGAAGCTGTGCCCTTTCCGAACCGCAGAACTTCCGATGTGGATTATCTCCCAAAGACGAGGGGTTTACCTGGACAGGTAAAGGAAGACCTGAGTCTGGTGTTACCTCGCTCGGCCCATGGCCTTTTAAAGCTGTGTTTTAGCCGTGGTCTCCAGTCATCAGTCATTTCTTTTGAGCATCTGTACTTGCCCAGACCACGTGCAATGAGCAGTGAGTGTATACACGATAAATAAGATTCTGTTCTTGCCCTCAGAGTTTGGTTTCTAGGGGAACAATCGTAAAAACCCACGCCTGGGTTGATCCGAGCGACTAAAAGGGAGGCGGGGGTCCTCTGGAAGGGCTTCCAAGAAAGAGTGATGCTTATAACTGAGTCTTGGCGGTACTTTGTTAGACGTGCAAGACGGGGAAAAGGTTCCCAGCAGAGGAAATGAGTGTGAAGGGGCCGAGGTGAAGAACCAGAGTATATTCTGGAAACTGCAGATAAGGCAGAGAGGTTCAGGAGAGGTAGTCAGGTCAGATCAAGAAGGTTTTTTTGATTAGTCGGTAAAGGAGAGCTCTTTGAAGGTACTTATTGCTAGAACCAGGGATATGGGTGGAAAATATTATATTCTGAATAAGGGCAACATTCTGCATATATGCACGTAGATGAGGACTGTATCTCCCAGCAGCAGGTGGAGTTTTTAAAGGATACAATTCATCCTTTTGTGACAACAAAAAAGTTGCCACGTTTTTATGGGATAAAGGCTGCAGACATTTTGACTATAAAAAGAAAATTCAGGGAATAATGGGTAATAAACAGAGGTTGTTTTAGTTTTCCAATTTTATTAACGACTGTGCTGCATGCTGTGCAGTTTAGAGAGAATAGATTGTGAGATAGAAACATAGTAACAAGGTGCAATAGAAGTGTCAACGATGAAGAGCTA